GCGGTTGGAGGTTGGCGTCCGGCGTCTGTAACAATTTCTTACAACTTCCTATAACTTAACAAATACTGTTTAGACTGACTTCAATTTTTTTCTAAATCATCTACATGTTCTCAGAAGTTCAAATCTGACTTTAGATTTGACATTTGACCTTCAATGACCTTCTCAAGGTCAAAAAGGTCTTTTTTCAACTTGCTTCACATTGACTAAATTTTTTTTCAAAATCATCTACATGTTCTCAGAAATTCAAATCTGACTTTAGATTTGACATTTGACCTTCAAATCTGACTTTAGATTTGACATTTGACCTTCAATGACCTTCTCAAGGTCAAAAAAGGTCTGTTTTCAACTTGCTTCAAATTGACTAAATTTTTTTTTCAAAATCATCTACTTGTTCTCAGAAATTCAAATCTGACTTAAGATTTGACATTTGACCTTCAATGACCTTCTCAAGGTCAAAAAAGGTCAAAAAGGTCTGTTTTCAACTTGCTTCAAATTGACTAAAATTCTTTTTCAAAATCATCTACGTGTTCTCAGGAATTCAAATCTGACTTTAGAGTTGACTTAAGATTTGACATTTGACCTTCAATGACCTTCTCAAAGTCAAAAAAAGGTCAAAAAGGTCTATTTTCAACTTGCTTCAAATTGACTAAATTTTTTTTTCAAAATCATCTACATGTTCTCAGAAATTCAAATCTGACTTTAGATTTGACATTTGACCTTCAATGACCTTCTCAATGTCAAAAAAGGTCAAAAAGGTATTTTTTCAGAACTCAACAATTCAATCTATCAGAATTATGGTCCATTTGTGTATAACAAACACGACCCTTTAACAGAAAATATGATAAGGCATTAACATGACAAAATGTCACCACCTAAAACAATTTGGTCAATTTAAAGCAAGTTGGAAAATACCTTTTGACCTTAAGAAGGTTTGATTTGAACTTCTTAGAACATGTAGATGATTTTGAAAAAAAAATTCGTCAATTTGAAGCAAGTTGAAAAAATACCTCTTTGACTTTTTTTGACATTGAGAAGGTCATTGAAGGTCAAATGTAAAGTCAGATTTGAACTTCTGAGAACATGTAGATGATTTTGAAAAAAAAATTAGTCAATTTGAAGCAAGTTGAAAAAAGACCTTTTTGACCTTGAGAAGGTCATTGAAGGTCAAAGGTCAAATCTAAAGTCAGATTTGAACTTCTGAGAACTTGTAAAGTCAAATTTGAACTTCTGAAAAGATGTAGATGATTTTGAAAAAAAATTTGGTCAATTTGAAGCAAGTTGAAAACAGACCTTTTCTACCTTTTTTGACCTTGAGAAGGTCATTGAAGGTCAAATGTCAAATCTAAAGTCAGATTTGAATTTCTGAGAACATGTAGATGATTTTGAAAAAAAAAATTAGTCAATTTGAAGCAAGTTGAAAAAGACCTTTTTGACCTTTTTTTTTACCTTGAGAAGGTCAAATGTCAAATCTAAAGTCAAATCTAAAGTCATATGTGAATTTCTGAGAACATGTAGATGATTTTGAAAAAAAAATTTAGTCAATTTGAAGCAAGATGAAAAAATACCTTTTTGACCTTTTATGACATTGAGAAGGTCATTGAAGGTCAAATGTCAAATCTAAAGTCAGATTTGAATTTCTGAGAACATGTAGATGATTTTGAAAAAAAAATTTAGTCAATTTGAAGCAAGTTGAAAAAAGACCTTTTTGACCTTTTTATGTCACCACCAAAAGTGGTGACATATTGTTATGGTCTCCGTTTTTTTTGCGACGGCGGTTGGCGTCCGGCGGTTGGTGGTTGGCGTCCGGCGGTTGGCGTCCGGCGGTTGGCGTCTGTAACAATTTCTTACAACTTCCTATAACTTAACAAATACTGTTTAGACTGACTTCAATTTTTTTCTAAATCATCTACATGTTCTCAGAAGTTCAAATCTGACTTTAGATTTGACATTTGACCTTCAATGACCTTCTCAAGGTCAAAAAGGTCTTTTTTCAACTTGCTTCACATTGACTAAATTTTTTTTCAAAATCATCTACATGTTCTCAGAAATTCAAATCTGACTTTAGATTTGACATTTGACCTTCAAATCTGACTTTAGATTTGACATTTGACCTTCAATGACCTTCTCAAGGTCAAAAAAGGTCAAAAAGGTCTGTTTTCAACTTGCTTCAAATTGACTAAATTTTTTTTTCAAAATCATCTACTTGTTCTCAGAAATTCAAATCTGACTTCAGATTTGACTTAAGATTTCACATTTGACCTTCTCAAGGTCAAAAAAGGTCAAAAAGGTCTGTTTTCAACTTGCTTCAAATTGACTAAAAAAATTTTCAAAATCATCTACGTGTTCTCAGAAATTAAAATCTGACTTTAGATTTGACTTAAGATTTGACATTTGACCTTCAATGACCTTCTCAAAGTCAAAAAAGGTCAAAAAGGTCTTTTTTCAACTTGCTTCAAATTGACTAAATTTTTTTTTCAAAATCATCTACATGTTCTCAGAAATTCAAATCTGACTTTAGATTTGACATTTGACCTTCAGTGACCTTCTCAAGGTCAAAAAAGGTCTGTTTTCAACTTGCTTCAAATTGACTAAATTTTTTTTTCAAAATCATCTATGTGTTCTCAGAAATTCAAATCTGACTTAAGATTTGACTTAAGATTTGACATTTGACCTTCAATGACCTTCTCAAGGTCAAAAAGGTCTGTTTTCAACTTGCTTCAAATTGACTAAAAAAAATTTTCAAAATCATCTTCGTGTTCTCAGAAATTCAAATCTGACTTTAGATTTGACTTAAGATTTGACATTTGACCTTCAATGACCTTCTCAAAGTCAAAAAAGGTCAAAAAGGTCTTTTTTCAACTTGCTTCAAATTGACTAAAAAAAATTTTCAAAATCATCTACATGTTCTCAGAAATTCAAATCTGACTTTAGATTTGACATTTGACCTTCTCAAGGTCAAAAAAGGTCTGTTTTCAACTTGCTTCAAATTGACTAAAAAATTTTTTCAAAATCATCTACATGTTCTCAGAAATTCAAATCTGACTTTAGATTTGACATTTGACCTTCAATGACCTTCTCAATGTCAAAAAAGGTCAAAAAGGTATTTTTCATCTTGCTTCAAATTGACTAAATTTTTTTTCAAAATCATCTACATTCTACATGTTCTCAGAAATTCAAATATGACTTTAGATTTGACTTTAGATTTCACATTTGACCTTCTCAAGGTCAAAAAAGGTCAAAAAGGTCTTTTTTCAACTTGCTTCAAATTGACTAATTTTTTTTTTCAAAATCATCTACATGTTCTCAGAAATTCAAATCTGACTTTAGATTTGACATTTGACCTTTAATGACCTTCTCAAGGTCAAAAAAGGTCAAAAAGGTCTGTTTTCAACTTGCTTCAAATTGACCAAATTTTTTTTTCAAAATCATCTACATCTTTTCAGAAGTTCAAATTTGACTTTACAAGTTCTCAGAAATTCAAATCTGACTTATATTAAGTTTGAACTCATAATATTGTGAGCAACTAGGTGGTGACATTTTGTCATGTTAATGCCTTGTTTTACTTTGAGAAGGTCATTGAAGGTCAAATGTCAAATCTTAAGTCAAATCTAAAGTCAGATTTGAATTTCTGAGAACACGTAGATGATTTTGAAAAAATATTTTAGTCAATTTGAAGCAAGTTGAAAACAGACCTTTTTGACCTTTTTTGACCTTGAGAAGGTCATTGAAGGTCAAATGTCAAATCTTAAGTCAGATTTGAATTTCTGAGAACACGTAGATGATTTTGAAAAAAAAATTTAGTCAATTTGAAGCAAGTTGAAAACAGACCTTTTTGACCTTTTTTGACCTTGAGAAGGTCATTGAAGGTCAAATGTCAAATCTAAAGTCAGATTTGAAGGTCAAATGTCAAATCTAAAGTCAAATCTAAAGTCAGATTTGAATTTCTGAGAACATGTAGATGATTTTGAAAAAAAATTTAGTCAATGTGAAGCAAGTTGAAAAAAGACCTTTTTGACCTTGAGAAGGTCATTGAAGGTCAAATGTCAAATCTAAAGTCAGATTTGAACTTCTGAGAACATGTAGATGATTTAGGAAAGAATTGAAGTCAGTCTAAACAGTATTTGTTAAGTTATACGAAGTTGTAAGAAATTGTTACAGACGCCGGACGCCAACCTCCAACCGCCGGACGCCAACCTCCAACCGCCTTTGCAAAAAAACGGAGACCATAACAATATGTCACCATTGGTTTAGGTGGTGACATTTTGTCATGTTAATGCCTTGTTATATGAAATATGTTTGTCCCAATATGATCTTATATGATTAATTGTTAAACTTGCCACATATTAGTTGTCGAACACGATGTAATTGCGCTAATTCGACTGAAAAATCAGATTTGTTAAAATGTTTTTTCAAATGGACCCACTTCTCAAAGCATTCAAGACTTCCGTGAGATGATAGTATGTGGCTTGGAAAAGTCAATAATCTGAGCAGTTCCTCACATTGGCATGGTTCGTTCGGTGAACAATTTGCAAAATTTGAATACAATAATCAATACAATAATTTGATGGAAATATTATGATTTACCCCAGAAAATCAAGTACCATTTTGAAGCCAAGCAGCATTGCAACGTAGTGGTGCAAGAATTTCTTAGATTAAGGTAAGGAGCTCTGAGAAAAAGCAAAAACAACAGATCCGTAGTTCATCAGAAGCTCAACTAAACCATTTTTTCTATGCTTGGTCATGCGTCTCTGGGGCAATAACAAATCTCAGATATATAAATAAAGCCCCAGAGATGCATTAATGTACCTAATAAATTGGTAGCACTAAAAAGACTTTGTTTTTGTAGTCCTTTGTATTTAGGTCCAAAACAGTATAATTTGCAGACAAGTTGAGCCTTTCGGTTAGACAGGAACTCAATCCATGCAGTGAAACATCTGAGGTTAGGGATAAGCTATTGATATTTGGGAGAAGTATTATTTCTGTGTTCGTATACTTTTCAGGTATCTGTTCTGCTGCTGTGGTCATGTGATCAACGTGTACAGTACACTAAGTGGGGAATGTGTGCGACAGTTACGAGGTCATACTGGTGTTGTCACCTCTGTTGTTGTCAACCCTCATAATAAGTTACAGGTAAGCCGCTTTCATTTAAAAACTCATATACCTCAATCACATATATATTTATACATCATAGAGGTAGGAAGCTAATACTGTTTTTTTACTTACTTTTGCTGTTTATTTACATAAAAAATGAAATGACTTCAAATTGTTTTGAATTTTGATAGTTGAATGAACTTTTCGATGATTAAGAGATCACAGACATTGTTAGAAGCATTTCTGCTAAATTACATAGTTTCATGGAGCATAAACACACCTATAACTACGGGTTATCCTTTTAAAGAAATATGTTAATGAAGAGTTGGAAGCTATTTAGGAAGAGACAAGTGGATCTAAAGATTTTATGCACATCCTATGCACCAAGGGAATTGTCTAGGAATAGTATTTTGTGTATTTGGTAGAGTTCCACCAAGATAGAATTTAGATAAATAGACACAAACTAATATTTTTAGTCAATTCAAAACAATCATAATTTATTTGAACTCTCATTTTATCTTGTACATTTCAAATTGGACTTCAGTGAATGTCTCATCACAGTCATAATCATTGAATTGGAGTTCACATTTTTATGGAAGATATTTTTCCAAGACATTGCCGTTTGATTTGACGAAAAATGCTTTTGGGCAGGACCCGCTCATAAATATAGTGGGACGATGATAATAGCAGCATGGAGCTGCCGTCCCATGGTATACCCAATTATGGGACATCCCAGACACCTTCAATCTCCATAGCTTTCCCCGTATGTTGACTGGTTTTGGCTTTATGAAGAACCATCCTCCAGTTGTAGTTGTACCATCCCAATTATTCACAAAAAGATATTTTGCCGAACCTCCGAGTTGAGGGCAGTTGTTCACTTGCACTGCTTTCGATAAAGTTGTGGAGCGATATGGCGTTGAAGTAGTTGATGATGGTCGTGAGCAAATCCAATTTGTGGAAGACAAACGCTCGCAGACATAATTATCAACAGTTGTCACAAAGAGACCTCCTCCACTAACTCTTACACTATGTGCAGTTTTACCTGAATATATAAAGTACAAAATTAATATCAATAATACTGTTCCACAGCTGGATGACTCTAACTGCAGTTAGCTTCATTCAAGATGGTTGCCAAATTTCTTTTGATTTCGATAAACTGCTGATTTCAGCTAAACTAAGTTGAATCTAGATTCCAAATATTTCGCTTTGCAAACTAATAACACTATGATAACAATCTCAGATAAATCCTCTAACAACCGCAATATGGGAGAATTTTAAAGAAAACGGCTTCAAAATTCCAAAATTCACATCACTTTGCCAAAGTGACCTTAATGTTTTTACCTTGCTCTAATGGCCGTAGTTTAATGACCTTGATGTTATGACCTTGGTGAAATAAACTTGTTAAAGTGACCATGCTATGGAGCCTGAACGATAGTAAAATTCCACTGTTGACACTTTGCCTATGAAAATTTGTGTTGTTATCAAATAACTGTACCAAACCAGAAAGTAAAAAGCATTGAATGTTCAAATATCATCAGGTGACTTTGGTACACTGCAATAAACTTAAAACCTTCCCTTTTTGTCATTATATTGCATCCACATAATCTAAATGTTAATGCGATGCAACCATATAAATATAAAAATAAAGATCTAAAGATATAATTAGAAGTTTTCAGTTTGAAAATTCATTTTTGACCTTGTCTTGTTTCCATATTTTATAAACTTCCAGTTTAGTTCTCAAAAATGATCAATTTCACATTCAAATGTGGCAAAATGGTGATTGAATTGTGTGAATTCATGTTTTACAATATACTCAACAGCAACAGAATGATGTATATCCATATTATCCATACAATATTTGCCAAAATTCCCCTAAAAATTGTCACCGACAACAACTTTTTGAATCTACTGTTGATAATTACCTTTAACTCATGTCATATATGACTAATCTGTTTTTCGTTCAGGCCTTGTGCTATAATGACTTCGAGGTAATGACCTTGTTGGAGTAGCCTTGCTATAATAATTTTGCCGTTGTGATCTTGGTACAATATCATTGCTATAATAACTTTGGATGACTTACCTGAGGGCTTCCCTACTAGATACCAGCTGGGTGTTCCTGGGTTAGCTGCGGTGATGTATCGGGAGTATACATAACCATTTCCTGCAACCAGGTATACTTGAATCTCCGTACATCCTGAGTCAGTACATGTATCAATAGCAGAGGGCCCAATCTATAAGTAACATGTCAATGATGTCATGATGGTCATTGTTTTGAAGGCCAAAGGATGGAGTCAGGGAGGAATATTTAAAAAGTATAAAACTAGCATATACATGTATATCTTTTTTAAATATTATACAGAAATACAATAAAGTCACGATAAAGAAATAAAGTAGAATGAGCTTGACCAGAGCGAAGTTAAGAATTAGGTTGGGTCTAACTATAGAACAGTAATGCCTGAGTCACGTTTGCTCTGATTTTCAATCCGGCACCTGACTGATTGAGTATTTTGTTCAAAACTGAATGCAGTTACTTACAGAAGTGCCTGGGGGTGATCCATGATACCTCCACTGCCAGGAATTACTAGAATATGACCACCAGCGCTCATACAACTTAAAGTTAGTACCAACAACAAAAACCCGACCTCCATGTATATTTTTACATGCACACATAGGCCGCAATGTTACAGCGTTTGGAGAGCCAGGTGCTTTTCCATGTATCGACCATTGCCAACCACTGCTCCAATATCTCTCAAACAAACGGCCATAGTTAGAAACTATGAAAAGTTTTCCATCATACATAACACATGGCTCAGATGCAAGATGCTCACCTGCTTGTAAGCCCCAGGGTTCCCAATGGTTGGCCCAAATCCATCCGCTCGAGTAGTATCGCTCCTGTAGATATTTATTTCCAACACCAAACAGTTTTGTTGACCAGCCTGACTTCATAGGAGCAAGTCCGGTAAATACTGGAGGTGTCCCATGGTTAGCTGTAACCCAACTCTCCCCATTGACATATGGTATTATCAGTGTAATACACACTACTGGGCTCAAACACCACGACATGTTTGCTTCGTTTTGTGTTTGAACTGGTTAGTGAAGTTGTATTTGCTAAAGGAACTTTCTCATTAAGTGTCATATATCATACAGTACATCACTAGACAATATGAATAGCTAACTGTCAATAGTCAATATATGTATCGTTTGTTTTCTTTCATGCTCATTATTTTTAAGTGTGTTATTATTAGGAGGCCCCTTTATCATTTCAAACTAATTATTTTGTAAATCCAAGTCCAAAGTTTTCTGCAGGATTTTTTCTTTAATGGGTTCAAAATTCTCATTTTCGCAATTCAGACCAAAATAGGTCAAAATATGCTAATTTTCCTGTTTTTCTCATTTTCAAGTAGGTGCATATAGATTTTCAGGTGAGTGCAAGCCTATTTTAAAAATCTGAGGTGGGTTCTGCGCCTTGTTGCTTTAATGTTGGGGAGATCACTGAGTATATATATATACAAACTTTGTGATACAACATGCCAATGTGTTCTTTTGCTTTCAGCTCTACAGCAGCTCATTGGATTCTACTGTCATAGAATGGGACTACACAGATGGTGTAATTTTAAAGGTATTTATGAGAATGGATTATGTGCAGAATCTCATTGAAGTGTTACTCCTGGTGTTATCCTTTTGGGAAATCTTACAAAACTCACAGGATGAGGTTTTGGGTTATCAAGGGTTTGAAATGGCCTTAATTTGATAAATAGACTGAGCCACGTACAAGTTTGTAGGGATAGTGAGAAGCTGCCATCTGTTTGTTTGTCTGTCAATTAATTCTTGTGTCCAGGTGGTACCAATGGACAGATTTGGTTCAAATTGAAAAGGCTTATGCTTTATGGGTATTGCCTCTGGTTGAGAGAAATTTTCAATATTGTCCCTCAATTCACATCCTCTGAACAAAGGCCTCCAGAACTTGTACCTCCTTCTTCCAAGAAGAAGGAAGGAACTTAGTGGATGATGTCTGGAGCCCTGTGTTTGGAGGATGCTCATTTCAAAATTCATTTTTCATAAAAATATTATCAAATACCTGTTTACAGATTTGGTTCAAATTTTATATACTGATGCTTAGGGACAAATGAGCTTTACTAAAGAAGAAATATTCAAGATGTCTGCTCAGTTTAAAATGGCCACAATTTTTTACAAAAATTGTAATCTTTGATAACTCAAACACCATTTGACAGATTTGGTTCAAATTTTATATGCTAATGCCTAGGGACAAAGAGCTGTGCTCAAGATGAAATGTTCAAGATGGCCGCTGGATTTTGAAATGGCTGCCTTATTTCATTAAAATATATTCTTATTGACTTCCATACCAATTGTCAGATTTGGTTCAGATTTTTTTGCTGATGCCTTGTTGACATTGGAATCTGGTGAAGAAATGCTGAATTCAAAATGGTCATTTCTCAGGAAAATTATGATTTTTCTCATAACACAAAAACAGTAAGTTACCATATTTGGTTCAAATTTTGATAATTTCTAATATCATAAGACCTTTGCTTGAGAAAGAATTTAGATATGGTGACATTTTACTTAATAAAATATGCTTCCTTCAATGGGATTGGCTACTTTCCAGAGTTGCTGTTTTCTATGGAATACTAAACTTTCCATTGCTCACACCCAGTCACCTGAAGAAATGAACGGAGGGGGGCAAATCTGGAAGAGTTATTTTTTCAAGAGAAACTTTACAATTGAATTGCTAAATGATAGTAAACGAATAGGTACAGTACACGGGGAAATGTGTCTTCTACTATTTTTTTTGAACTGATGGAATTGTAAGGTACAAGATCTATTAAAAAAGGCGCAGTGTCACCAACATGGAAATGTCAATGTTTTTGCTATAAATCAAGCAACAATGGTCTGCCCGACCTGTAATAAATAAATATAAGTAGTCTTTTCATGACAAAATTACTGTCATTGGTGATTTTTTGAAATAAGTTTTCAAGTGTTAGATAAAGCATAATTGAAACTGAACAAAGGGGGATGGGAGTGAATGGAGGGGGGAGTAATATGTCTTTGAGGTGGAAGAAATTTCTGCGAATTTGTGTATTTGAAAAATGAATTCAGTTACTCAGTAACAACTTTATGTTACAACTCTGGAAAGCGAAAAATAGGGATTTTCGATTATTTTTTCTATAATGTATTGTAACGTGTTTTACAAAACCAACAATGAAAATAGTTTTGTGATTATAACTTCACTTACAAGTACATGTATTTATTACAGGTTGTGTAGACCCGTGTTGTTTGATTTTTTGCAAAAACATTGGCATTTGCACATTGGCGACACTGCACCTTTTTATCCCATCGAACGAAGTTCGGAGGGATATAGAGAACGCCTCCGTCTGTCCGTACGTACGTCCGTCCGTCCGTCAGTCCGGCCGTCCGTCCGTCCGGGCAATAACTCAAATACCGTTGGCCCGATTTTGTTCATATTTTGTACACATATACCCTATGGGGGTAGAAGTTCTGCTCGAAAGCTGATTTTCAAAATGGCGGCTCTTTTAAAAATGGTGGCCATTTTAGTGCCAATTTTACAGTAATTTAGGTGCAATATGTAAAACTGTTATAGGAATTAGTTTTAAATGTAAAAAAATTATATAGGACATTAATAAAGCTAGAAATGTAGATATTAAAGAAGCACATGGCAGCCATCTTGAAAAATGGCGGCCTTTACTCCTTATTTTACAATTTTTGCTGTAACTCGAAAAGTAGTGGAGCAATTTTGTTCATATTTGGTATGTGAATACTATAAGCATGGCACACTGTCTAATGACACTGTCTAATGGTAGAAGGTGGCCATTTTGAAAAATGGCCGCCATTTTAACGTATTTTACTATAATTCGAAAAGTGGTGGAGCGATTTTGTGCATATTTGGTATGTGAATACTATAAGCATGGCACACTGTCTAATGACACTGTCTAATGGTAGAAGGTGGCCTTTACTCCTTATTTTACGATTTTTGCTGTAACTCGAAAAGTAGTGGAGCAATTTTGTTCATATTTGGTATGTGAATACTATAAGCATGGCACACTGTCTAATAACACTTTTGGTAGAAGGCGGCCGTTTTGAAAAATGGCCGCTATTTTAACGTATTTTACTATAATTCGAAAAGTGGTGGAGCGATTTTGTTCATATTTGGTATGTGAATACTATAAGCATGGCACACTGTCTAATGACACTGTCTAATGGTAGAAGGTGGCCATTTTGAAAAATGGCTGCCATTTGTGCTATATACTTTGTTTGTAAATATGCCAGCCATGGCTGTTCGATGAGATTTGCTACGCTTTGGCGTTGCCGTTGTTCTGGTTTAATAGATTTTTTATCTTAGAACTCCATCAGTTCAAAACTTTCTACCAAAAATCAGCTACTCCCCCTCTGTTCATTTCTTCTGATCACCGGGCGTGTTGCTTATGAACCCCGAGTTATGAACAATAAGTTCTGTAAATTATAGTCATTTCAAATAATAAGATGAATGGTGTTTGCAACTAGAATGGTAAATGAACAAAGTTCAATTTAAGACTCCAGATTGATTTGACCTAGATAGCTATAATAATAGTAATAAGCTGATTAGGTAACTGAGTAAGTAACTAAGGCCATATGAAGTAGATTCTTTGTTTTGCATCCTGGCAAAAACCAAATCATGCAAGGGTACAAGGAAAACAAACACAAACTCAAGAAAAAACACAAGCTTGTTTGCCGAGAAATGTATACATTTTATGGGCATAAAGAGGGATGACATACCAATTTGCATTGATTACAAACACATATCTATACAATTTATACAATAGATTTAAAGATAGCTATTATTCACGGGTAAGAAATAAGAAAATACACAATGTATGCCAAGGTAATCAATTACACTGTCAATTTTGATGCACATCAAATTATCCGCCATTTCATCTGATTTTGATTGAACGAAACGCGGTGGCACTTTCAGACCCTTGTGATTGCTATTTGGATGTGTTTGTTTTTTCTGATTTACTCAAAATCATGCAAGCAAGGGGACGCAAAACAAAGAATCTACTTTTTATGGCCTAAGTATGTAGCTGAGTAAGAAGCTGGTAGCTTAGAAGTTAGCTGATCATGTTCGCGCCATTGACTTAACATAGGGATATCATCATATTGACTTTTCGAGACTTCAGAACTTGGTTTGTGGATTCAGATTTCTGAGAAAATTTTACCCTTGTGGCATAACTCACACATAAAATTTGGAAAACTTTTTATTTTGACCTACTTTTCGGACACCATATCTCAAAAGGGGGTTAAAATACTTTGTGACAGCAAAAAGCTAACACTATTAGCATTCTCTTGGCTACATCACGTATACACAATTTCGAAGAATATAATTAAAGTGGAGTGTTAGATTTGCAAAAATAAGGAAAAACTATGAATTTGACATAGATTTTGACCTAGGCATTTTGTGTCCAAATTTTAAAACTAAGTCGTATTTGAGGTCCCCTTCTTTTATAGACTTTCATAATGTTTAGCTGTATGCAGTCTATATCTCATGCTCATATTTTACACTTCAAAAAAATCTTTTGTCCCATTGACTTAACACAGGGCACCAAAAGCGATTTTTGATTTTTCAAAACGTCTGAACCGGAAGTCAGATCGAACTTTGGTTTGCAGATTCAGATTCTTGAGAAAATACTATACTGAGTTGATAACCCACAAGTTCTTGAACAAGAACAAGAACTTTTTGTTTTGACCTACTTTCCGGACGCCAAAACTCAAAACTCAAAAAGTAATCAAAAAATGGATGAAACACAGTCGAATCGTCTTTTTATTGGCTACACGTTAAAACAGAGATTTTGACCTAGATAAATATTTGACCTAATTTCCCAGAAACTAGGTCTCATACCCTAATTGACCATGTAAGTAGATTTAAGTAAGTTCTTCTAGTTACTGAGAAAACATTACAAGAAAGAAAGAATAACTTTATATGTAAATTGAACAAGTTCAATTGAACAAGTTCAATTTAAGACTTCAGATGTCAAACTTTGAGTCATCTGAGGTGAGTCATCCAGAATAAGCTGTGTCATCCAGAATAAGCTGTGTCATCCAAAAAAGCTGACTCAACCAAAATATAGACATTTAGACAATTCTTAGTTATGCATTCTTTGACTCCATTGACATTCACCATATCAACATTTCGAGATTTCAAACCGCCATAACTTCCAAACCTGAAGCTGGATGGGAATTTGGTTTGCATATTTGGATTTCTGAGAAAATAGTACCCTTAATTCATAACTCACACATTAATTTTAATTTTGTCCTTATTTTCAGACACCATATCTCGAAAATGGGTCAAAATACTTTATGATGGCAAAAAGCTACACTATAGCATACTCTTTGCTTTCTGTAAACCAAATTTACAGAAAACCTGAATCGCAAAAATAAGGAAAAACTATAAATTTGACCTAGATTTTGACCTAGACATTTTGATGTCCAAATTTTGAAGCTAGGTAGCTTTTGAGGTCCCCTTATTTTATAGGCTTTCATTATTATGTTAAGCTGTACTCAGTCTATATCTTGTAATTATCCCATCGAACGAAGTTCGGAGGGATATAG